GAAGCAGCTCTGAGCTCTGACTGCAGAGTGAAGCAGCTCTGAGCTCCAACTGCAGAGTGAAGCAGCCCTGAGCTCCGACTGCAGAGTGAAGCAGCCCTGAGCTCTGACTGCAGAGTGAAGCAAGCAGCTCTGACTGCAGAGTGAAGCAGCCCTGAGCTCTGACTGCAGAGTGAAGCAGCCCTGAGCTCTGACTGCAGAGTGAAGCAGCCCTGAGCTCCGACTGCAGAGTGAAGCAGCCCTGAGCTCTGACTGCAGAGTGAAGCAGCCCTGAGCTCCGACTGCAGAGTGAAGCAGCCCTGAGCTCTGACTGCAGAGTGAAGCAGCCCTGAGCTCTGACTGCAGAGTGAAGCAGCCCTGAGCTCTGACTGCAGAGTGAAGCAGCCCTGAGCTCTGACTGCAGAGTGAAGCAGCCCTGAGCTCCGACTGCAGAGTGAAGCAGCCCTGAGCTCCGACTCTGCAGAGTGAAGCAGCCCTGAGCTCCGACTGCAGAGTGAAGCAGCCCTGAGCTCCGACTGCAGAGTGAAGCAGCCCTGAGCTCTGACTGCAGAGTGAAGCAGCTCTGAGCTCTGACTGCAGAGTGAAGCAGCCCTGAGCTCCGACTGCAGAGTGAAGCAGCTCTGACTGCAGAGTGAAGCAGCTCTGAGCTCTGACTGCAGAGTGAAGCAGTCCTGAGCTCTGACTGCAGAGTGAAGCAGTCCTGAGCTCTGACTGCAGAGTGAAGCAGTCCTGAGCTCTGACTGCAGAGTGAAGCAGTCCTGAGCTCTGACTGCAGAGTGAAGCAGTCCTGAGCTCTGACTGCAGAGTGAAGCAGTCCTGAGCTCTGACTGCAGAGCAGTGGCGTTTTCTCCTGGAGGCCAAGGGAAGCCAGGCTTCCCCTGTTTTTTTCGGATTGTAGTTATAATTTTAATAAATAAATAAAAACACTTAGTTTAGTTTCGGAAATTATTTGTTGTGTGTTGCTGTCGGCCCGTCTCTCCCCCATTCTCATTGAGTATTTTATAAAGAGTGAAACAGCGCCCCTCTAGATGTTATGGTGAAACAGTAGATTGCACTCTCTGTTGCGAGAGGAGGCCAGCCGAAATTGGCTTCCCTTGGTGAAAAAAAATGGAGGGATTGACCAATCAGACAAGGCTCCCGTCATGCCCCTGCCAACCTGTGATTAGTCAGGGCCGCTGCTCTGGTCAGGGCCATGCCAAGGGAAGCCAGAGGCGGCTGGCTTCCCTTGCCTCACAATCCAATCAAATCGCATCAATTTAATGTTGCAGTGACGCATCCTAAACCCGGAAGTAAGCTGCGCTCGGTTTTCCCTCGACAAAAAAGCAATGGGATTTCTCCATAGGATTTTGGAAAATAGCTCGAAATAAGGTCAGTGGAAAACGAACCTGTTAGATAAATGCACGTTTTGTTCAGTCGGATAATATCCACATGTCTACCCTACTTTTATAATTTTCGAATCATAAATCTAATCGATATAAGATAGATAGCGTCACTGCACCACTCTCACCGCCGTTAGAAAGTAGCAAGCAACTGAAGCAAGTGCAATTATGGAGGGTGGAGATTTGGAGTATTTAATCAAAAATAATTGTACTAAACTTCCGCTACAGCAGCAACAACAAATACAATCTGATGACAGGCCAATGCCCAAACTGGAGCTGTGTACAGCGAGGAAAAAAGGAGCGAATCGGACGTAAGACGTTAAAGGTCTCCTGATTTAGTTTGTGAATGAATGCTTATTAGAGTTTTGTCTGGAGAGTGCGTGCGGAGAAAGTTACCGGTGCGCCAAGTAGGAAGAGGAGCGCACAGGAGACAACCGTTTAATTGCAGACTGTTATGTTTATGTGGGGAAATGGCAGTGCATACATTATTTGAGATATATTTCAAACTCGGACTTCATTTTAAGGACATGTCGGCCAGGGGGTGTAGAGCTATATGTTTATTTTATAGCTTTTCTTTTTAATGACTGATTTTAAATGCCATTTTCTTAATGTCTTTCATTTTTGTAAAGCACTTTGAATTGCCTTGTGTTGAAAAGTGCTATATAAATAAACTTGCCTTGCCTTTGTTTAAGCACCGGATTGGCAAAACAGGAGAGTAAACCAGTCTGCCTTGATCTATGAATTCATGTCCGGGACTCTCACGGTATCTGCTGCCCGCAGCTGTTTTATAGAAGGAAAACCTCCTTCACTTCATGAAATGGCTGCAGGCAGCATCAGGAGGCAGCGGGACGTGTAACTCCGCTTCTGAGAAGTGCAGCACCAGCTGTGCCTTTTTACGTTTTGGTTTAAAAAGTGAATAACGCATGCTGGCCCCGGGACCCGAGCGGTCCAGTTTGTGTCTGGATTTTTTTGGTTCTCTGACGCTTTAACAGAAAAATTAGTCCTTAAACACAAAGTGGCTAGGGTGCAGCGTAGTGAGAGTCAGCTGGATCAGAACTCTGGCTCGCTTTCTGACGTTCAAATCCAAAGAATGAGGACTTTAAATCAACAGTGTTTAGTCAGCATGGAGATCATCTGAACTATCAGCTAAATATCACAAATTCATTTTCATGATCGAAAGTCAATAAACATTATTCCTCATAATTATATATAATCAAATATAGGTTTTTACACAAAAATAGTCGACCTATAGCCATCCTTCATGAGGATCATCACGACACATGATAAAGGTTTTAAGCCTGTGCTCAATGACTTTAAAAAACAACATCATAAGAGCAAATGATCTGTTTGAAAATGTACTTGTATATACTGTTTGTTAATAATTATTGTGTCTGTACATGTATGTATTTGTACATATATTTATGTACGTGCGTGCGTTGCCGCTTCAACGCTTCTGCCCATTCACTTTGAATGGGGTGACGTCACGATTCGCCGAACTGCATTGTGGGAGCAAAGCATAGCTTTTCTCGCGGTGCTCGCTGCAAAAGTAGAGCAATGTTCTACCAATCAAATCCCGTTTATACAAATCTGCCAGTACAAGCGCTAGCCAATCAAACCGCGTGTATGCTGGGAGAGCCAGACCGCAATCACCCGGTGCTTTATGATCAGTCCCTCTTCACCTACCGGGATACAAACCGGAGGAGCCAGTCATGGAGGGAGGTGGCAGAGACAGTGGGTGAAACTGGTAGGTTTTCGCCTGTTTGGGGATTTATATCCAGTGTACTTCGTTTGAATGGACAGCTAGCAAGCATAGACAGTATTTAGCCAGCATGGAATGTTGCGTAAAATAGCACCATAGACATTAATGTCATAAATGTTCATCATATAAAGTGTGACATGTAAAACCTTTTATGCAATTGACAGGAGAGATTCATGTGATTGGTTGTTGGTCGCGTTGCTCGTGTTAACTCCCCAAGCTCAAGACACGCCCACCGCCAAGCGGCAACGCACGCCGCCGTGTGTCGGGGCCGTAAATGTTATGTTTAGTTTTTTATTCAATTTTAACAACATGTTTTTGTTTTTTGGGTGGGAGGGGGGTAGAAACAAACGGACAAAACACACAGTTCTGTATTATGCACTGAATGGACTACCAAGCTGTTTTGTTGTTGAGGGAAAAGGAACAAATAGTAATATATAAGTAGCCTAAGTCTAATTATTATTTAATAAAACGTAATCCAGGATTAACAATGAAATCCTCAAACTATGTTGAAATAAGAGAATTAGCAAATGACAAAGATCATTTGCCTGACGACATCCTGTCTGTGACACTACAGGAGTCTCTGCTGTCAGAGCAGCTCCAGTTGTTCAGAGCAGGAAGAAGGACTCCTAATCACCCGTCAATCTCTCTCCTCCCACATGATCATGTTTCCACCAGGAAGATCATTAGCACTAATTAGTCTCCTCTATGTCAACAAACACAATGCAGAGATTAGTAAGGGAATGTTCCCAGTGCCCTCCCTGTCCTGAGCAGCGACGTGCAGTCAGGGGAAGCAGAGCCTCACCTGTCATACTCCAATGTAACGGAAAAACAACTAAAGAAAAACATTAATAGTAATAATAATAACAACATGTCTCCACTGATCTGTGTTGTAAGTGTGATTTCTGTTTGATTCCAATCGCTTTTTATAGTAAAAATCAGCTAATTTGCCGAGCTCCGCTACAACTACGGGTAGCGATGAGAAGTGAGGCAGGGACGAGCTCTGCCTCTCGTAAGCCCACAGTAACTGGCTGGAGCGCGGGCACTAATGTAGCGCAGGCACTTATTTTGTGAGCGCGCTCAAGCCAGTTACTGTGTGGTGAGGTGAGGCACAGATGAGCTCTGCCTCACCTCAGAATGCGTCACCCCACAGAAACTGGCTGGAAAGCGGGCCCTAAGCGCATGCCTGCACCATCTCACTGTATGTCACCAATGTAATGTTTGTAGATCCCTTTATTACATTTATCCTCGCCATCCATAGTCTCTAAATAACTTATTTCACGTATATGATATTTAGGCTCGCTGGTCTCATCATACAACGGCAATGAAAAAAGCACCAGGGCCATAACCTCTGCCGCACTGAAGGGGGCGCACGTGAGCCCACAGGTTCTTGTTGCTACTGTTATTCTACGCAGTTGAAACTAGAGGAAGATAAGGAGGACTTTTACAAAAAAGTAATAGAGATTGTTGTCCAGAAGGATAGCATGGACTTCATCTTCAAGTCAAGGTAAGACCCCAATTGTAATGCAAATGGAATCTTACTAAGAAAGAACAATCCAATATTTAGATTTTGGGTATCCTTTTGTTGAACGGTCTGTTTAAAATGAATCGAAGCATCAGACTAAAAAAGCTTTTGAAAATAACCGAATATTTCGATAAAGGTCAAAATATAATATTTGTAAATCTGACTCTGAAAGAGTCAGTGCCTCACCAGCCATGAACCTCACCGCACGTCACTGGTCCTGAGGCACTCAGGCCCCGGCCACAC